TATATATATATATATATATATATATATATATATATATATATATATATGTTAAAACCGACAAACGTCATCCAAATCTGACTTAAATGTTTAAACACAATATGCAAATGGTTTTCTTCACGGTGTCATAGACTTTCAAGCTATGACCTACAAGCGGGATCTCCTGAGGAGTGTCAAGACTTAAACATTAGCATTGCCAAATTAAAATATAGAGATTTAACGAAACTGATAATAAATGAGCCATTTCTATGTGAAAAAGAGATAGTGATATTATGTGTATTTATGCTTATAGTTTTTGGGAATTTGATACGAGTATATAACAGGTTTCAATAATAATAAATAATGGAATGAACTACATTTAGAAGTGAGTTGAGAACTATTCCTTACGCCATTTACAGAAACTTCAAATTTGCAGCTCGAAAAAAAGTTTTTCGGCTTTGATGCAAGATGAGTGCACCAGAAACTTAATGGTCTTTTTTAATGTCACGTTATTTAGAACGTCAAGATGATTCATATAAGTGTTAAAGGCTTTGTGCTACAAAATGAGAGAGAACTAAAAACTAGTCCTAATGAACAAAATTATTCAGGACAGTTATTTAAAAAATTAGTTAAACCTGATTCGAAACGTATTTTAATTGATTGAACTTTGTAATTGAACTAGAATTGTTTTGTTATGGTATGATACTGGTAAACCGTCAGACAGTTCAGTTAAATGAAGCGGTAATAGCGCCTGTAGTCTACATTCGCGAGCCAACAAAATATCCTTAATATCGCAAATACATAAGTTCATAGACATAAGTTCATAGACATAATTTCTTAAGTCGCCCGAGGCTGTTCGAACTGGTTCTTTCCGGAACACAGGAGTTCTGCTTTGCGGAAAATAAAATGTAGAGCGGTGATTTTGAACGGATAGAGAACCTTAGAAACAAAAACCTTTAGAGGTGTTCATAAATCCCATCTAAAATGCACAAGATAGTATGTGTAATTAAGTGTTTGAATACAACTTAAAACACGCTTTCACAAAAACATGGCGGAAATTGTGACATTTATTTTTTTATTTATTAGAAATGTAATTTCCCGTCTCACATTCAACCGACTGTATATTATGTAGCAATGAATGAAAGGGGGAAAGCCGATGTACATGCACTCGCGCACGCAAACAGATGCGCATGCGGTGAAATGAGCGAATCCATTCGATTGATTGCCAATAAAGGCGCTTTGGAAGTGGCACATGGGTGTACGGATGAAAATGAACTAGACAGAGGCGTTACTTTACAAAGTGAAGTTTATTAAATGCGAGTTTTACGATAGAGAGTTGGGTTTATAAAGTGTCATTTTAGTACAGTTAAGCAGAAACAAATATTGAATGTTTAAGTCATAAATGAATAATAAATAACGAGACAGCTACATTTTAAAGCGCTTACTGGTTTAATAAGCTTTTATGGGGTACTGTCTAATAACTGAAATAAAGAAATAAGTGTCTTAAGAATTACAGTCAGTCACTAGTTAAAAATACATTAGAAAGACAATGAAAGACCTGTAGGTTTTTGAAGTTGAACGCACATAATGCGAATGGAAATGATAATCTAAAAGCTATTTGGCATAGTCTATGAATACGAAATTTAAATTAAACGGGGTTTATATGAAAGTTTTTAGAATGTAGTTGTATAGGAAACGATTATGGATAGATTCGCTTTACCACTAGGTCAACTAGAAACCACGACATAAATACTATAATAAATCATCATCTAGGTAGATTTCACGTTGGTACATACAATCACTAAAATATATTATGTATTTTATGGTTCAAATTAAACTAAATACTAATTCAAGAAAGTAAACTGTTCATTATAATTTCATTTTGACTTTATAACCTTTTACAAATGAATTAGACACAGAATGAGAACTGAAATGTAAAATTACACATAAAAATTATATGGAACATAAATCGGGGCTAAGACTTTTTTAACAGCCTTATCAATTGGGTTGACACAGAAAAATGATAAGTGACACGGTTTATCGTAAAGGTAAAAAAATAAGAAGCACATTTAATTAAAGTAAATATTAATACTTACATTGAAAGACACCAGCTGAAATCCATATTGGCTTACACGGAAAACCAATAACAATCGAAGAAAGAGAAATCTGCAAACCTAGTTTTCCAGCTCTTTTTAACACTGGTCAACGCACCGAAACTTGATACCATAACTCATTAAACACTTTCAAACTAACTTCATGAATAAATGATAATGCACTAGGTACACAAAAACATTACAAGTAAAATTCTAGTTTTGTCAAAGCGTAACACATTTGCGGAGTTGTTTCGAAGCGAGGTTTCTTTACCACTGCCACGGTCACATGCCTGCACATACGCCACTCCCACCACTCACTTTTACCGGTTCGAAATGTCTTAAGTCCATAGATGATTGTGCCTTTAAAATGTCCATGATAAGCTCCGATGTTTTTTTGTCTAAATTTATGGTTAAGACGCGATTTCGTGGTGAAGCTGCTTTGGTGAATGTGGACGATTTTGTGGTGGCTATTGTATCTCTTTCACTCGGCGTTGGCGCCGATGTACTACCATTTGCTCTTAGGGCTATAACAGATTTCACTATCTTACTTCTTTGTTAGACAGCGATTTGTATACAATAGTGTTTAGCTCATTTCTTATACTGCTGTTCTAGTCTAAGTAGGACTGAAAAAACGTGTTAAGAAATTGATTTAATAGATTTCTCACATATACGCTACGGCAAAAAAATCCCTAAAAACAAAAAAACGAAGTACATGGAGATATTCGTAACGTGTGCTGGTTCGTTCCGTAGTTCATTTGGGACAGCGTCAGCCACTGTATGATGAATCGGAGGATGACTCGGACCGAAAGAGTGTTTCATTGTATTCGATCTTAGTATTAATCATTATAATAAACTAGTTGAGTAATTTCACAAAAAAATATAGAATATTATGTATGATATTCAATCAACTTAATAGATTGCTTCCATGCAATCATGCGCAAGCGGTGCACATCACTGGTGCGCAGGGTGCGGGTCAGCCGAAATAATATCCTAAAGACATTTGCTGAACGCTTTGATTGTTAATACATGAACCATTGTAACATGGTGCATCTATTGACTAAATCTAAAATATTATTCTAATTGTAATTTTATTTTATTTATATTATTGTTTATTTTTAATTTTGTACTTAATTTTATTTTTCGATTCCCGGACCGGGAGAAATATTTGCACGGCCTACATTTATTTCTCTTGTGAGTTTGGGTGTGATTTGTGGTTGTTTATGTGTATGTCCATAGCACCCGCGACGCAGGGTTTCCCTAGTGCGGGGCTATGTTGAGTGTGTGCGTTATTAAAAAAAAAAATTCTATGGTAACCGTTCGGCCACGAAGGCAGTCAAACAAGTAAAAGATTTATTATTATTAATACCTATTACAATAGATTTAAATACCAAATCTTATTATCGTTCATCACGTCAGGTCACATATCACTATTGGACATAGAACTCTTCGGAAAAGGACTAGTTGCTACAAATGCCACCCTTGGCGGTTTCTATGGACACAATCATCACAAATCATCACAAAGAGACCTTGTTTTTTACCTCCTAGACCCATCTTAGTATTTTTTGACAAGATAATCCTATAAGTTCGTATGAACTACGAGCTACAGGACAGGTGACATTCCATCAACAGACATATAATATTCAGCGTGACTATATCGTGAGTATTCTATGAGTTTCAATAGTATCATCTTAACAGGTGAATGTACTTGACCGATTACTCCATGACTCGCGCAAAATCGCGACGTGAATGGAGCATGAATAGGCACAGAGCCATAATAATTTGTACGATTATTGATCGTTGATCAACAGCTTTATATTTTCACGTTATTAAGCTTGTAGGTCGGTAAGTTGGGCAGCGATATAAAACCAATTTTCTCGAAAATAAAGATTTTTCGATATTTGTAATGTTGATAACATCGAGTATATAACCAGAAATAGAGACGAAATGTCATTTAATTTGTTTGAAAACTATTCTACCATATCATTACCGTGACAACTGCGCTCCGATTGGCTAGCCCGAGTTCGAAACTATAGACGGGTGTCGTCAACTGTTTCACTTCAAATCGACCAGTTAACTTGAACTTTGCTATAATGGACGAAAATTGCAAAATGAGATATTTAATATTTAATTACCGATGAAATGTGATTCCGTTTGTTTTGTTATTAGATGTATTGCTGTTTTTCCCACACCACCGAATAGAACGGCACGGAATTGTTAGAGATATCATATTTATTACAATAAAAACAGAATGTTTTTTGGAATTTACGGAGACGTACACGCAGGTAGGCCTGTCTACGTTTCAGTGCAAACGAGAGTTGATATTTATAAGAGCTGTATCGCTAATATGTTACCAGGAATATATGGCCCTTATTTCGTCTCTATTTCTGGTTATATACTCGATAGTTGATAAAAACATGTCTGAGACCGTCGCTTATAATGTCACCTCAAACATAAATCCAAGCAGTGGCGTGTGTACGTTCAATTATTGCAACTGTCAACCTGTCAACTAATGGTGACAAATAGGTATCCTTTTTTGTAGAGTTCGGCAGAGTTTCAATTTTCTTTTGAACCGACTCCAAAAGATTTTTTTTGTATGTGTTACGCGGTAACTCTGCTAATGTTTCAATCGGTTTTGATGATTATTTTTTTTGTTGGGAAGAGGATACCTCAGAATTGGTCCCATTTAAATTTAAAGAAAATATTCCATCTCTAGGGGCGGCAAAGTAGGGTCGGTTTTGTTAGTAGGGGAGATCGAGTCTGGTAGTTCCCGGGGTAAGTTGTTCTCACAGCAATAACTTTGTAAGAAAAATATATAGCAATACATGTGAAGCACGTCGTTAAAGCGTCAGGTGATGCGCATTGCCTACAGCCATTTCAGTTACTCCAGCGACGACGGAAGTGTGGCTATGTGCGTGGAGCTGTCAAAACATCACGTAAGTACATTTTTTCTTGTTTAAATGTTTTGGTCTGTCTTTGTTTAGAAAATGAAGAAAAGAAATTATTAATTTAATTTAGAATTCATATATAATTATTATATAATATTATGTAATTAATTATATATAATTAATTATATTATATTAATTATTATATAATATAATCAATTTAAGTTACGTATGTATATGTATATGTAGTGACATTAGTAAGGAATCTAGTTGTTTGAGTATTTTTTTCATTGATTCTATTACTTTGCCGGTATGTCAGTCTTCGTATAAAAACGTAATTTGGGGCTATAAGTTCCTCCCTAGAGTGGCTGGTTGTTCCTAGGAACAACTTCCCCAATTGACCTGCAATCATATTTAAAATTCTATGACCATTTTTCTTTGTTTTAAAGGATGCGAAAGTACAAACGGGCTCATGTCAAATATTTAGACAAGATGATAGAGTCACTTATGTGTGTCTCAACTGTGATTCAGATGAAGAAATGAGCTATGAATAATATTACTGAAGAATAAGAATGTAGTTGTTTTTTTTTAGTTAGTTGTGCATAAGGTGGTTTTATTTAAGAAAATCCTTGTTATGTCATAATTTAGGCGGAACTATTTGCCTCAAAGGCGAAACAACGCGCCCCAAAGCGGGGCTGAATGTTCCGCTCCGAAATTTATCAAAAATTTGTCTCTATGAAAAAGACTATTGAGATATTAGTAGAAGTGACTATACTATTACAAAAAGCGATAAACATTTGTTCAATATTTCCACAATCAAATCCTTCATTTTCAATATAAAACTTCAACTTATTTGAAAATCGGAACCTACAGCCCCGCTCTCCCTTACTCTGTACTATGTTATCTAAATATCTCTGTGCCTCGTTTGAAAGAATTCGAGTATAAGTTATTTTTTAAATACCTAAATCTAAATATTAACCAACATCACATACGTTGCTCTGATCCCAAAGTAGGTAACTAAAGCACTTGTGTTATGGAAATCGGAAACAACGGCGTTACCATAAACACCCAGACCCGAGGCAATAATAGAAAAGTGAGTTTCTATATTGACCCGGTCGGGATCCAACCCGGAACCTCAGATATGGCGACATCGGGAAAATCGGTGTGCAAGCCACTCGATCACGAACGTTATCTTAGTTAATTAAGCTTTCTCAGATTTTTTTTTACTTAAAATCATATCTACTTACACACTTTTTCATAGTCCGTTGCCAAGTCCCTGTTTGATTCACATTTCGCAGTCTTAGGGTCGTATTCTAGAACTCTACTATTGAGTAGAGCTCAAGTTAGGATTTGAGTATGGTTTAAAGCACTCGAAATCATACTCAAATCCCTGCCATTAGGGTCGTATTTCCAGTGCTTGTGTTTCCATTGCAATCCTGACTTGAGGATTGAGTAGAGTTCTAGAATACGACCCTTAGTACATTACATAAGTTTCGCTCTCAATAAATTATTTTTATAAGAGTCGCCTTTAAATTAACAGTTTTTTGTTTAAGTAAATAAATAGAATAAATTAAAGTAAAAACAACACCAAATCAATGTTTATTTGTGAGAAATTAGCGGAAATATATATTTTTTTTATAAAATTCATTATTTTTTTACACGTTGTCGCAAAGGGTTACTTCATTACATTGCATTAACTAGAGACGAAGTATATCGATAAGTTTTCGATAATGTAATGAAAAAATGTTTAGTGCTTGGTATTTGTTGCTTGTGTTCTTAAAGTATGAATTTTTATCATAAGTATTGACATGTTAGTGTTCTTACTTTTTCGGAACCGATAAATTAACGATTTATGATAAATAGTTTTAGAAATTTGCTAAAATATCAATTGAAATCGCATTTGAATTATAGTTGTATATTTTATGCCTTCAATACAATACAAAACACTTCTCACATCTATACATATCGTTCAGAATACGATTCAAAAATCAAATACACTAAAAATCTATCGACTATACCTCGTCCCTATGACAAACGTCAAATGAATTGTCACAAGGATTACCCTAGTTTGTGTTTAGTGTAATGGTGGAACATCTTTATTTTTATTTGAAAATTCGAAATAAGAAAAATATGGATCCATGTATTTAATCTTCTGATACAAAAGTTGCCTGCCAGCTCCAGACACTTCTGTTACAGCCCTTACATACAGCTGTGGACCGTAAAAGACTGATGTAGTAATAAAACTCCAGTGACTCGACCTTTTTTAACATCGTAAAAAATTTCACTGTTCACTAATTTAAAGCCGAAATTACTTTTTAAACACTGAATTGGTAATTTTGTACAATGAAAGACTGGAAATTA